GCCATCTAGCCCACTTCAGCCCCAGCTTCTGGAAGGACTCGGGAGGTGGGAACCAGGGCCCGAGTCCTACATCGGTCTGCTTCTGGCTGGGTGCACCCCGACGAGACCCGGAGCCTCTGTTTCCTTGTTCGTAAAGAGGGCAGGTCATCTGTGAGGGGGGTGAGGCTGTGGAAGCGCTCTTGGGCTGCTAGTTTCCGACCCCCGGCCTCGAGGGCTGCAGTGGGGGATGAGGCTGCCGGGTTCTGATCGTAAGGGGCCGAAGGACCCAAGGGACCCTGGGGACTCAAAGCAGGGGACTGACACAGTCAGCTCTGCTCTGGCACCTCTCAGTGGGTGGACTGGAGGGGAGAGGAGCAGAGTGGGGAGTGCCCGGTGGGGCCCCATGGGGCCAACCTGTGTGCACGGGGCGGGGGCGATTCTCCTCCCCCCCCAGCTTCATGCTGCTATATGTCTGTGGTAGAGTCGCATCTCATTCAGGGGTGGCGTGGGTAGGACTCCAGAAGGACTGAGCCTTAGGAGGGGACGTCCTAACAGAGATCTCATCCTGCAAGCCCAGTTTACAGATGAGACAATCGAGACCTAGAGAGCAACCGTGACTTGCTTGCTCAGGCGGAGAGCATGGTTAGAACCCAGGCCTCTGCCTTCCCGCCCGGGGCCACAACCTCAGCTCTGTTGCACTGAAACAGCTGGGACTTGACACTTTAAACTCCTTACTGTGATAGGGGATGACTCGACTGACCCTCCTATAAAATGGAAAACAGGGGCGCCTGGGTGGCTCAATTGGTTGGGCGACTGCCTTCGGCTCAGGTCATGGTCCTGGAGTCCCGGGATCGAGTCCCGCATCGGGCTCCTTGCTCAGCAGGGGGTCTGCTTCTCACTCTGACCCTCCCCCCTCTCATGCTCGCTCTCTCTCTCTCATTCTCTCTCTCAAATAAATAAATAAAATCTTAAAAAAATAAAATAAAATAAAATAAAATGGAAAACAGCCCACTGACGTCAAGGCTGGGGCTCCAGAGCCAAGACTGGGTTGCCGGAGGAAGCCCAGAGGAACGCTAATTGCTTGGCTTGGTTTGGGCGGGACTGGGGCCGCCCTGGCTGATGGCTTTGGGCTGAAACTCTTTGAAGTGCATGCGCCCAGCTGGCCCCCGGAGGCCCTGACCGCACTGGGAATGTCCCAGCTGTCTGCACATTCAGCACCCGTCCCAGCTGCAGTCTGTCCGGACAGAGACCACCCGGCTCACCGGCTCCCACCCCTCAGGCAGGGACAGTGGTGTGCCGGGAGAACATTCGATGGCAGGGTGCGGACATTACCGCCCTGACCCTCAGATGGGGACTGGGGCCACTGAGCCCCATCACTGCGTGGCTCTGGGCTAGTCATTTAACCTCTGGAAAATAGAGAAACGTGGCACAAGACCCTAGGTCACGTGGAGTGAAGGCCACATGTGGCCTACAAGATCCTCCAAGATGTGGCCCCTACCACCTCGCCAACCTCTCCTGTCCCTCTCCTCCTGTCACACACATCATTCCAACCACACTGGCCCCCTTGCACATCCATGAACACACCAGGCGTGATCCTGCCCCAGGGCCTTTGCACTTGCTGTGTTCACTGCCTGGAACATTTTTCCCCTGGATATCCACATGGCTCACATCTTCATCTCTGTCAGGTCTTTCAAATTTCACCTTCTCAGTGAGGCCTGCCCCTCCCTGCTTTCCCTCTTTTTCATACTCGCACTATCTTCCGGTATGCTGAATAATTTACTTAGAATGTCTGTTGTCTGTCTCCCCCATTTCTTCTCTCTGTTCACTGATGTGTCTCTGGCGCTCCTATGTGCCTGGCATACCTCATGGGACTGAAGGAAAAAGTATGCCAGGGGCCAGCTAATTCTTTCCGGGAAGGGCCAGAAAGTCAGTATTTGGGGCTTTGCAGGAGTCATAGCTGTTACTCGACTTTGCTGCTGGAGTGCGAAACACAATACCAATGCGTGTGACGGGATTTGGTCTGTGGGCTCTGCTGTGCCAGGCCCTGGGCGAGCCCTGGGTGATAAATACATTCCTTACTTGCAGGGAGTGTAATGTTCCTGATGGAGAAGTACACAGGCCAATATAGTCGTAATAGTAAAGTGTGGTGAAAGAGGCAAAGGTGGGGCTGAATTCTAGAATGATGACAGCAGGAGGAGAGATCAGGCTCCCTTCGGAGAGAGTGGCCTGTGTTGAAAATGCCAGGTTTGCAGGAACAGAAGGAAGGGGTGAGGCTAGAGTGCAGGGAGCCGCATAGCTGTGAGTGAGGAAGGGGATGGGAGGGGGCTGCCTGCCGGGTGGCACAGGGCCTCTGGGCATGGCTAGCTGGATCTTATTCTATGTGCGGTGGAAATGCAGAGAACTTGATTTTCCTCTGGACAAGCCGAGTGCGGGAGGGGCTAGTAAGGGGCTTCCAAAGGGATGGGGCCGGGGGTGGGGACAGCAGACGTGGGAGTATTTTGGAGACAGCCCTGGCCAGTGGGTCGGGTGCAGCGAGTGTGGCAAAGGTGAGAAGTTTCTGGAGCCCTGAAGGGACAGTGATGGCCTCGATGGAGATGGGCAAGGTTTGGGGGCAGGACAGGCTCCCTTGGGGGGTCCTGCCCGCCCTTCCCCCCACCTCCCCGAGGGCGGGGCTCTGCAGGGGGATGGAAGAGGCTGGGCCTGCAATCGTGGCCTGTCTCTCCGCATCCACTTCCCCATTTTCCAGATGAGGGCCACTGAGGCTCAGGAGGTGAGGTGACCTGCTCAAAGCCACGTGGCCAGGACACAGCCGAACAGGGACATAGACCCGGCCCGTGTGGCTCTGGGTTTAGGGCTTTTAGCTTGTACCAGGCCGCAGCTCTCCTGGGCCCACAGAAGCCGGGGCTCCGGCTGTAGGAGAGGTCAGACTGGGTGCCGTCGCAAGTTCCTCGCTGGGACTCCCCGGGAGCCTGCAGGCAACCTCCTAATCGCTGCAGCGGCAAATCTTTTTTTTTTTTTTTTTAAGATTTTATTTATTTATTTGAGAGAGAGAATGAGATAGAGAGAGAGCATGAGAGGGGGGAGGGTCAGAAGGAGAAGCAGACTCCCTGCCGAGCAGGGAGCCCGATGCGGGACTCGATCCCTGGACTCCAGGATCATGACCCGAGCCGAAGGCAGTCGCTTAACCAGCTGAGCCACCCAGGCGCCCTGCAGCGGCAAATCTTTACTGCATGCTTTGCAGGGTCCCGGAGGGAAGAGTGCAGCCCAAGTCCCACGTCCACACCTTTGCCTGTGCTGTTCCTGACACGGTCTAAGTCCTCGTCCCTCCTTGGGGCTCACTGCCATGGAAGGAAGTCCCTGAGGAGGAGAGGTTAGGAGAGAGCATCCGGGAAGAGAGTTCTGGAAGATGGGGCGTGCAGATGGGGCAGCTCCAGGGCACAGGGACCTGGCCGGCCGAAGCCTGGAGGCAGCGAAGTGCAGGGTGTGCAAAGGAGACCAGGCTGGTGTGACCAGAGTCACCTGGGCTGGGAGAGATGGGTGGCCGGGGCCTGAAGGCCAGCCACACAGATCAGGGCTGAGCTCTGAGGGCGGCCTCCATCCAGGAAGGGGTCCTGAGCACCGGCTGGAGGAGGAGCAGGCCAGGGAGAGGGGGTGCTGCTTCCTTCTAGAGACTTCCTGTTCCTCTTCTCCTGGCAGCTCCATCTCTGATACCCTTCGGGGCCTGGCCTCAGGGAAGTCTCTCCCCTCCCCAGGCCTCAGTTTCTCCTCTGGTCTGACGGGGCAGGGGGCTTGAAGAGTCCTTCCTGCTCTGACGTTCACAACCCTGGGCTTCTCTCTTTGGGCTGGAGGTAGACACACTCTCCCCAAGACACATGCACTCACACTCACACACACACACACACACACACACACACACACTCACGTCACCAAAGCCAGTAGCTAGAGTGAGGGGCTGCTGTTCTCCTGAAAGCACCTTGTCAGAGTCCACACTGGCTGATCTCTCCAAGAGAGGGTAAAGGGGAGCCTGGAGGGAGAGGTACAGGGAATGCAGGCTTTGGAATCAGGGGGTCCACGGCCGACTGAGCAGTGCTGCTTGGCTCTATGGTGGGCCAGGCACTGTAGCTCGAAGGGGCCTCTGCCCCCTGGGCCTTGTGCTGAGCGGTCCCCCACATACACAGGCTCGGCTGACCCACTGGCCTTGCCCAGCCTTGTCAGGAGCCCATCGGCCCCAAAGGCTGTATTTCAGGTCATCTCCCCTCCACCAAGCAGGCCCAGAATGGCAGATTCGGAAACTCGGCAGGGTGGAGCCCCTTGTCCGGCCCCTAGTCCCATAGACAGAGTCCTGCCCTCCTTCCCTGGGCTCCCACAATACAGGTGGGGGTGGTGTTGGAATTAGGGTTGTAAGGCTCAACCCAGGACGAGGACTCCAGCCCCACATGCCACCCCGGGGTCTGGGATGACAGCGGCTGGATCCAGTCCAGCCTCTGGGGACCAGCCTGGGCCTGAGACATGGTCCTGGCTTCGGGTCCAGCCCCACCGGAGGGCAGTAAGCAAGACTGCCTGTCTGTTCCCCAGCCTGCCCCCCCACCCAGAACACATCTGGTCTCTTTTCAGGGCCCCCGTCTAATGGGGAGCAGAGAATAGGGGGCACACCCAGACGGATACTGGCCTGCAGACCTGTTTCCTGAGGCCCATTGGTCTTCTTTTTTTTTTTTTTTAAGATTTTATTTATTTATTTGAGACAGAGAGAATGAGAGAGACAGAGAGCACATGAGAGGGGGGAGGGTCAGAGGGAGAAGCAGGCTCCCTGCCGAGCAGGGAGCCCGACGCGGGACTCAATCCCGGGACTCCAGGATCATGACCCGAGCTGAAGGCAGTCGCCCAACCAACTGAGCCACCCAGGCGCCCCCCATTGGTCTTCTTGAGCCTCCCTCAGGAAGCCCTCCTGGACTCCTCCTTTCCCATCTCACCCCCCACCCCCCCACCCCGGCAGGGGCCAGACTCAATGACAACACTGCTCCTCGGTGGACATGGGCCACTTAGGACTTTATTAACATTAGCAACATTCCCTGCACACTGCTTGTCCACATCCAGGACCTCCTCCCACCCTCACGACAGTGCCGGCGGGGGTGCGGGGTGGCTGGGGGTGTCTCTCTCGCCTTGTCCACAGGGCACCGAGGCCACACGGCGCGCGAGTGGTGCCCTGGCTCGAGCCTCCGCGCAAGTTCCTCTCCCATTCCCCAGATCGACCTGTACGCCGGGGCACTCTTCGTGCACATCTGCCTGGGCTGGAACTTCTACCTCTCCACCATCCTCATGCTCACCATCACGGCCCTGTACACCATCGCAGGTATGGCGCCCCGGGGACCCCCCACACAGGGGGCCTGACCGCCAGCCGGCCCGGGCATCCCTGCGGTGGGGCAGATGCATGGGGGGCACGAGCAGGAGGCGGGGGCCCCCTCCTCCCACAGCCTGGCCAGTGGAGCCGTGGAGTTGGTGCTGCCGGCCCAGCCGATTGGCCCCACAGCTGACGCACCTGAGAGGGCAGGGGACACATGTCGTGGAGCTGCTGCCCCTCCCCCCTCGAGCTCCGTCGTTTCTACCCACAGGGGGTCTGGCTGCTGTGATCTACACGGACGCCCTGCAAACGCTCATCATGGTGGTGGGGGCTGTCATCCTGACCGTCAAAGGTGAGCGGGGGGGGGGGGGCTGCGCTGCCAGGACCCAGGTGCCAGCACTGGGTGGGGGTGGGCTCACGAGGTCAAGCCACCCGGCAGTCGGCCGCCCCCGCGGCGGCGGCCTCCCGACGGCGGCCCAGCTGAGCGTGTGGCCCGCCCCGGGCTGGCTCGGGGCTTGATGGAGAGGGAGGGCCGAGGGCACGTGTGCGCACCATCAGCGGACCACAGAGCCGCCCGGGCCTCTGGTCCAATTATTAAAAATCCTGTGCATCACGGCAGAAGCACTGCAACAGCCCGCAGGCCGGGGCCGGGGAGGAGGGGAGAGGGTTGAGACGCGTCGGTGATCCTGGCCTGGGAACCCGGACGAAGCTCCGAGGGCGGCCCCATTAGGGGCTATCAGAGCCAGCAGGATCCCACAGGGGTAAACCGAAGCTCAGACTGGAGGATCCCGTGGCCCGGCAATTTCTGACCTTTGAATAGCGTTCGTACGCTTGCTCTGAGTACTCGGCCCGGCCTGGGCTCGGGGCGGCAGAGAGGCCAGGGCCAGAGTGCCGGCGGCAGGCTCCCAGCCTGGCAAAGGCAGGGCAGAGGGGCGAGGAGCAGGCAGATGAGACAGAGCGTCCCCCGTATTCACACTTATGTGTGTCTGCCTCCTTTCAGACAGGGGCCCACATCCCTGGAACCCACTGCAGGGGAGGGAGCCAGGCAGCCAGGCCCAGGCTGGATGGGGGGGCAGTGACTGCAGACACAGCAGAAGCCACAGATGGGCCGGGGCTTGCCCATGCAGGGCCCTGACCCTGAGGTAGACGGGAACAGTGAGGGAGCGAAAGGAGGGAAATGACTTCTGGCCCGAGCCCCAGCCGGCTGGCCACGTGGCCTCGGTCACTCCTGTGCCCCCTCTGGGACTCGTTCTGTTCTCAGTGCTACATGACTGCCGGGCATCCTCAGCTCTGCCCAAGTCACATCCTTCAGAAGCCCCAGGTCAGGGCTTTAACACTTTAGACTCCTCGGGAAGGTCCTCGAATGCCAAGAAAAAGTACTTTTGCTCCCTTGAGTCAACAATCTGAAGCCTGGCAGAGAACCCCTCGCCCGAGGCCAACAGGCATCCAGGGCCCAAGGGGACACTGTAGGTGTCCACGTGCAAAATGCTCATTTAATAGTCTTATTTTAAATACAAATAGAACAGTCATTTGAATCCCCCACCCCCTTGCTTTTTAAACCCTCTACCCTCCATACCTTTCCAGAGACTGGGAAAGGTGAATGGGAAAAAGTCAAGTTTGATGCACTGGGAAGTGGGGGCCCTGAGTCAGGGCCACCAGCCAGCAACCCGTCCCTGCCCCGCCCTCTCCAGCTTTTGACCAGATCGGTGGGTATGAGCAACTGGCGGCTGCCTATGCCCAGGCCATCCCACGCCGGACCATCGCCAACACGACCTGCCACCTGCCGCGGGCAGACGCTATGCACATGTTCCGAGACCCCTACACAGGGGACCTCCCGTGGACCGGGATGACCTTTGGTCTGACCATCATGGCCACCTGGTATTGGTGCACTGACCAGGTGAGTGTCAACGTCGCTGGCCACCCCACCTTCCTGCCTTCCGGGCCGGGCTCTGGACGGTCCGGGCGGCCCGTCTGCCAGTCCCTGGCACAGCCCCACGGACACCTGCTTGGTGAGTCTGGGCTGGGGCAGAGACCACGGACCGCACGGCTCCAGGCCCAGGGACGGGGTGCTAGGGGTCCTTGCGGTCCCGGGGGGCCTGAGCCCTCTGTTTAGAATCAGAGGAGGCCCACTGGCCACTGCCCGTCCTGGCCTTCAGGTGCTTCGACTGGGACAGTTTGGAGTACGGGATTCCGAAAGGACTTGGCTGCTCTTTAGGGTGCCTGCCATCGGCCTGGGGGCTGGCGTTTCGGGCCGGCCTTGGGGTCCCGGGATCAGCCAGAGTGCGGGACATGGGGCCCGCCTTGACCTGCCAGGGGTATGGGCCTGCCATGGCCGGGCCCGCTTTCCTGGCAGAGCTCTGGGTGCCATCAGCAGCAGGGCGGCAAAGCGGGAGTCCCGAGGTCCTCATCGGCCGCAGGAAGCCATCTTTCTCCCTGGTCCCTGAGGCAGGGACCCTACAGTGGGCGATGGGCTGGCCCTAGAAGAGAAAGAGCAGAGACGGTGAGCCCCCCCAAGGGCTGGGGGCAGGCCGCAGCTAGCACACCTGGGTTTGCCTCCTGGCCTGGCCACTCACCTGCTGGTGGTCCTAGACAAGTCTGTTTCACTACTTTGTGCCTCAGTTTCCCCGAGTCCTATGGGAATAATCCCGCCTTCTGTGGTTACGATAAGGCAAGTTCCTGCTGTGCCCGCCCCAGCCTCCTCCATCCGTAAAGGGGGCTGGACGGGTTTGTTGGAGGGAGCACCTCAATGTGGGCCGGGAAAGTTCTGGTGAGCGCAGGGGCTGGGTCTTCTTCTGGAGTCTGACTCTCGCTCTCCCTGGGCTGTGAACACACCAGGGGACTGTGGGCAGTTCCAGGCAGCCGCCTGGTGGCAAAAGGTCTTGTGAAGCAAGAGATGACCATCTTGCCTCTGGACCTGGCTCCCCAAGGGCCCCACCATGGGCCTGAGGCAGCGAAGCCCAAGAGCCACCCCAGCCAGCCACTAGGGGATGAGTGAGGAGAGCCTTCCCTGCAAGAGAGGCCTGGCCAACCCCAGTCCCAGGCCACAACCCCGAGGCCCAGAAGGTAGACCTGGGATCCGCACCCAGAATAGAGTGACCTCCCCCATGGCCATGGCTCCCGCCCACGAGGGGAGTGTTCAGCGGGCTCAGTCCTGGCTCTCCCTCTCCCAGGCAGCAGGAGCTTAAGGACCGTCTCTGGGCTGTGTCAATGGGAAGTAATCCAGGATAGGAGGCTTCAAGAACCTTGGGAGGCTGGGCCTCAGTTTCCCCAGCTGTAACATGATTCTGGTCTCACACGTGGGCCTCTGGGGCACACACTGAGCTGACAGCAGGTGTCTACCCAGCATCCCGGGAGAGTGGAGGGCCCACCCATGCCCCTTCACCCCAGGACACCTGTCATTTCCTCCCTGGCATGACACTGGCATTTCTGGGCGGGATATTAGTCAAGAGATTTTCCCAGGAAGGCCAAGTGAGTCAGCACCCTGCCAGCCCTCAAGGTCAGGGCTGGATGCGCCTTACTGCCTGGATACCGAGGCAGGACGCTGCTGACCCCAAAGTGGTCCCGAGTACCACTGACATTGGGGCCTCATAGCCTGGCCTGACTTCCCTGTCGTCCTTTGGCTCAGGCTGGGTCTGCCCAGGGGGGACGGCCAGGCCTTGGCCCAGAACCTCACAATACAGGCACCTTTGCACTGAACCCCACGGGGCTGGTCCTACTCCGCCGTGACCCTCAGCAGCAAGCGGGGGCTTGCAGGACGCCAACCGGCCACCGGGCCGGGGCAGCCCTCCGAGACGCCCGGTCTGGTCGGCACCAGGAGGCGGCTCTGTGCGCTGCGACCCCGGGGCTTTTCACTGGCTTTGGACTTTTCACTGCCTCCTGGCTCGTCCGTAATGTGTAGCTGATGCTCTCAAACTCAGGAACAAGCAAACCCCGGCCCAGGAGGCAAAAGGCCCCATGGGCAGCGAGCTCGGCCACGCCCCTCCCTAACCTCGGTGGCCCTGTCTGAGCACCAGTTTTTTTTTTTTTATTCTTATGTTAATCCCCATACATTACATCATTAGTTTTAGATGAAGTGTTCCATGATTCATTGTTTGTGCACAACACCCAGTGCTCCATGCAGAATGTGCCCTCCTCAATACCCACCACCAGGCTAACCCATCCTCCCACCCCCCTCCCCTCTAGAACCCTCAGTTTGTTTTTCAGAGTCCATCGTCTCTCATGGTTCGTCCGCCCCTCCGATCTCCCCCGCTTCATTCTTCCCCTCCCGCTACCTTCTTCTTCTTTTTTTTTTCTTAACATATATTGCATTATTTGTTTCAGAGGTACAGATCTGAGATTCAACAGTCTTGCACAATTCACAGCGCTTACCAGAGCACATACCCTCCCCAGTGTCTATCACCCAGTCACCCCATCCCTCCCACCCCACCCCCCACTCCAACAACCCTCAGTTTGTTTCCTGCGGTTAAGAATTCCTCCTATCAGTGAGATCATATGATACATGTCTTTCTCTGTTTGACTTATTTCACTCAACATAATACCCTCCAGTTCCATCCACATCGTTGCCAATGGCAAGATCTCATTCCTTTTGATGGCTGCATAATATTCCATTGTATATATATATACCACCTCTTCTTTATCCATTCATCTGTCGATGGACATCTTGTGAGCACCAGTTTTTGACAACCAGGCCAGCTCAGGACCTGCCCAGAGAGCGGCGCCAGGGTCCCTATGCTCACGGGCCAGCATCGCACCGTGGCTGACCCTGAAGATGGACCCCCAAGGAAGTCTGAACTCACGGAACCTGTGAGCAGCCAGGCACAGGCTCGGCCCTCTACACAGTGCCTCACTCAGTCCTGCTAGCAACGCCGGGGGTCAGTGGTAGTACCCTGTCTTGCAGACGAGGTCCCACAGCCTCGGGGAGCTTCAGTGGCTGGGCCTGGGGAGTGAGTGCCGGCTTGGGGCCGAGCCTACGCTGAGATGTACTGGGGAGGCGGGAGCCCGCTGACCCCTCAGGGAAGGTCCCGGCCTTGCTGCCTGATGCTCGCTCTGCTGGAGCAGTGGGCCTCAGCTTCTCCAGCTGCAGAATGGGGAGACGGCAGCTGCCCCCCTCCCCCACCTCCCAGGGCTGGCCACCGTGAGCACAGAATAAAATGATGAGAGTTGATGTGCGGGGTTTTAGGGAAATGCTTTCTCTCTCCCACGAGGAGAGCAACCCCGGGCTCTGGCAAACCACAGGACATCAGAGGGGATGAACTACGGAGAACTACGTCTAAACCCCTCCTTGTCCAGACAGGGAAACTGAGGCCCAAAGTCAGGCAAGGACTTGTCCCCAGTCAGAGGCAGCTGTTGGAGAAGCAGGATGGAAGTCAGCCTGTCCTGCACACTCAGGGTCACCACTCTGGCACCCAATAATGATTGTTCTACCAAGAGCCACGTCTTAAAGGGAAATGCAGGGAAGCTCGCATGTTTGGAAAATAAGTTAAAACCACAGATTCTTACTTCTGAACTGCAGCTGGTGATTTCAACTGCAGAACACCAAACATAAACTACTTAAAAGCTGCAGATTGTCCAACCGTGCGAACGTACTAAAAACCACTGAATTGTACCATTTGGGTGGCTGAACTACACAAGAATTCTATCTCTGTGAAGCTGTTTAAAGTTACACTTGAGGGGCGCCTGGGTGGCTCAGTTGGTTAAGTGACTGCCTTCGGCTCAGGTCATGATCCCAGGGTCCTGGGATCGAGTCCCGAATCAGGCTCCCTGCTCGGCGGGGAGTCTGCTTCTCCCTCTACCCCTCCTCCCTGTTTGTGATCTCTCTCTCAAATAAATAAATAAAATCTTCAAAAAACAAAAACAAATAAAGTTACACTTAAAAAAAAAAAAAACAGAAACAAAAGGAAATTATGTCAGAGCTGGGAGGAATCTCAGATGCCATTGGTTCCAACCCATGCTTCCGGCTGGATTGCTGTCGGGCATCAGGCTCAGTTCTCTCAAGCAGCTCTAGGGCTAGAGGGACGGCACCCTATCTCCTGCCGCTCCCTGAGGCACAGCAAGGAGAAAGCCCCCGACAGATGCCCCTGAGGGGGCCTGGGACTCACCCCCTCCTCGTGCCCCCAGGTCATTGTGCAGCGGTCGCTGTCGGCCCGGGACCTGAACCACGCCAAGGCAGGCTCCATCCTGGCCAGCTACCTCAAGATGCTGCCCATGGGCCTGATCATCATGCCAGGCATGATCAGCCGCGTGCTGTTCCCAGGTAGGACAGGCACGGGGGGCTGGGCTGGGGCTGCAGGGGGCCCAGGATTCTGGGTCCTGGACCTGCAGCGGTCACCGGGAGGAGAGGCAATGACGAATGTGAGCCAGGGGAGAGGGGAGGAGAGTGGTCCCCTGGGCCCTCATCAAAGGGACTGACATGGAGGTGGCTTGACATGAGGTCCAGACAGGGACCACTTACTGCTGGGTGACCTTGGGGGGTGTAAAGGACATCTCTGTGCTATCAGCAAATAAGGGAGTGGACCACATGGCAGGGCAGGGTCAACTCCCTAGAACTCCGATGTCTGAAATCTCTGGGTATTTTAAGCGCGTTTCCTTTCGGCTCCCAGTAGCTGGCTTCGGTTGCCTTTATGGGGCACAGGGGCTCCCCAGCGTCGGTAGGGACCAGCCACATGTGTGGCCCTGCGTTGTTGCTACCTGCCCCCCGCCCCCGTTCATCAGTTTCCCCATCTGTAGCATGCAAGGCCATCTAATCTGGGGATCTGGTACCCCAGCAGACGACCACTCTGGCTGCTCAGGCCTGGGGGAGGGACCCCTCATAGGCAGGGACCCCGCCTCACCTGTGTCTCCTTGTCCGTGGAATTCGGAGCCTGCGTCCTCTTCGGAGTACCCGCCTCTCTTCTCTCCTGACCCGGGGCCCACGGCGAGCCATCCAGGGGTCCACCAAAGGTCCCGTGGGTCACGTGGGGGGCACTCAGCTGTCGGCGGGGGGGCTGGGCCGGCCCGTTGGCTACCTGCTCGGAGTGGCGCCTCTGGAGAGGGGCTGAGCGCCCCCTCACCTCAAAATACTCGTCTGACACAGAAGAGGAGGCCACCGAGGGCCGCCGGGGGCCGGGGCCATGGCTGGAGCTGCCCGAGAGGCTGTCCTGGTCACTGAGGGTCACGTAGTCATCATCATCTTCTTCCTCCTCCCCATCTAGCCCATTGGGGATCACCGCTCCCTGGCCGTCAGGGTCATCCTGGGTCACAGACAGCTGTCGCCGGAGCGGGGCGTGGCCTGGGCCCGGTGTCCGGGGCGATGCTCCATCTGTCCCATTCTGGGGCGTCTCCTCTTCTGGGGTCTCCAGGGCCCAGTCAACACCGCCGCTGTCCTGGGCGAGCAGCTCTGCCACAGGGACTGTCCGGGGCTTGGGCACGGGGGGCTGGGGCTCGGGGTCCCCCTGCGGAAGGCCGTTCTCCGCTGGGCCCCCGTCCTGGGGGGCACTGGGCCCGGGGCTGGGGCTGCAGTCCTGGCTCTGCTTCCACAGTTGGGTGCTAGCTTGGGACATGTCTCGGATCTTGATGCGGTTCATCTGGCTGGGCTGGGGGTTCCAGATGTTGGGGTCGATGATATTGATGTAGCCCAGGATGTCACTGCCGGGCTCCGGGTCCGGCTCCACCCACGTGGGCAGGTACTCAAACATGTTGGCCCGCTCCAGGTTGAGCAGGCCGGGGTGGACAGGCAGGGGCGCCTCCGGGACATTTCCGGGCCGCTCGGCCAGGGTGGCGCCCCGCAGTCCGGGGGTCTTCTTGACCTCCTGCTTCTCGGAGGACGTCTTGGCGATTTCATCGGCGCTCTTGGCCTTGACCAGTGCGTACTTGGGGTTGACGAGTTTCTTGGCTACGGTGCCCGAGGGCACCAGTGGCACCACGGAGGGCAGCACGATGGGCTCGGGCTCGGGCTCCTTCTCCATGGGGATGTCCTTGAGGCTGACGCCGTGGGACATGAGGTACAGCTCCTGGAACTGCCGGTCGAACATCTCCACCACCTGGCCCGACAGCACGGAGATCACGTTCCGGTCCGTCCTCGCGGCTGACCACGTGAAGCTGCAGCACAGGGAGACAGGGCGGCCCGGTCAGGCATAGGGGGGCCTGCCTCCTCCCTCCAGCCTCGGGTCCCCAGTCTAGGGAGTCCCCAGCCACGGCAGCGGGCGTGTGAGCAAGGCCCCGAGCACCCAGAGGCTGGCACTCATCAGACTGGCTACGGGGGCCTGGATGGAATCGAGAAGTGAGCACAAGCCTCGGGGTCAGACCTGAGTCTGGGACAAGTCACCTGCACCAGGGCCGCTCCCATCCGTCTAAAATAGCAGTGTGGCACTCCTGCGGGCTGTTAGAGGGCCCCGTAAGGCCGCTCACGGGATGCACAGTACAGCCCCGGCGCCGTCCAGCACACAGGGGCAGGTGCTATCCTCGGTGGCTTGGCTGCGTGGACGGGCGTGGCTGCGGACCGCCCGCCCCCCACCCCCGCCGCCCCCTGCATGGCGGGGTTTGCAGAACTGGGCCACGGCCATCCTCGTCCTGGCCCATCCCTGAAGGTGGCTCTCCGAGTGACCGCCCCGTGTGCTTGGCCCACACCCACCCCCAGGCCGGTGACACCTCTAGGTTGGCACAACAGTTTTGGGGACAGGAGCCCTCCCCTGCCTGCTTCCGGAGACAGGCGGGCGGCGTGCGGGCGTGCCCCAGCCCCGCTCACACCTCAGCAGTTTTGGGACCCACGAACCGGAATAACCAGGGTGTCATAAGGCAGGATGAAGGGCAGAAGCCAGCTGGGAACAGGAGCCACCTCTGTCCCCGGCCCCCAGAAAGCTGGAGAGTCACCTGTAGGAGCCACAGATGGCCCGGTCTCCATCCACGAACATGAACTTCTGGGCCAGGGCACCCTTGAACTTGGTGGCCGACCGTGTGAAGAACTCCGTTCCCCCGCTGCTCCGCACCCTGAGATTCTGTGTTGGGGGACAGGAGGCAGAGTTATGTGACCACAGCCCTGACCACACTGGCGGGGGTGGGGGTGGGCAGCAACCTGTGCCCGGGGCTCAGGCAGGGCTTCGGGGAGGGGGTGCAGAGGGGCTGGAGGCACGGGGTGGTGTGTGTGAGGACCACAGGGTCCCGGCCAAGGCGCAAAGCGGTAGGAAGACAGGAGGGTGGGGCTAGTGACAAAACGCGTGGCGCAGGATGGCCTGGGCGTGGCCTGAAGGCTGTCCACGGAGCAGACGTGGGCAGGACAAGATGTGCGCGGCCAGGCCAGCATGGGACAAGCCGTCACAGGTGGTGGGAGGCCGTTGCAGGGTCTTGAGCAGGAGGGGCGTGCAGACACGTTTTAGAAAAGTCCCACGGGAGCTGTGCAGGGATCGGGGTATTGCTGTCGGGCAAGTGTGTGGCTTTCCCAGGGCGAGTGGCCAGCCGGGCCCCTCTCCCCATCTTCCCTGCACACAGCTGTCTCACTGTCCCCGCTGAGCCCTGCTCACTGAGGACCAGGCTCGCAGCACTCTCCTACTTTCTCACAGGCCAGCTCGCCGCCTGCCACCCAGCAGTGGTTCAGTAAATGGTCAAACCCCACTCCTCACCGGGCTGGTCCTGTGGCACAAAGGCAAGCCACAAAGGCCCCTGCGCAGGTGCGAAAAGACAGGGTTAAGGCACGGCAGGCCCTGGGAAGGGCAAAGAGACCCAGGAGTGGAGGGGACCCCAAAGTAGAGCCTCAGGATAGGAAAGACCCTTGGGCTCTTTGGTCCAAGCACTGCCCCTGTTAGAAACCCAGGCTCCCGCCCCCCCCCCCCCCCCCCGCCCAGAGACGTGCTTCTGGAGGACGGGCGGCAGGCTGCGAGTTTCAGGTTTACCGCAAGCCCCAGTGAATCTGACACCTGCCCAGGGCAGAAACTCCCTCGGCAGCATCCTGCCGGTCCGTCTGCAGGTCCGTGACGGGAGTCACTCCCTCCAGAGGGGGTCTGTGCCGACTTCACTCCCTCCTCGACCCCTACCCAGGCCCCCAGCTGCAGACCAAGGGGATGGTGACGAGGACCCTGCACTGGAGGTGGGGGAGGAGGCAGAGTAGTAAGAACCCCAGCTCTGGGGGAGGGGCTGGGGAGGATCCTGGGTATAGGCTGACATCGGGAAGGCGGGGATGAGTGGGTCGGGTGGGAAAAGGGTGCAGCATTCCAAACGTGGGAGCACAAAGGCCTGGCAGCAGGAGCGGCATCTAAGACCTGGGAGGACTTCCTTGGCGGGAGGACGGTGGGCGATGGAGCCTGCAGAGCAGGCTCAGCCACATGCCGATGAAAGACCCTACCCCTGCTCAAGGGCCTGGCTCTACCCTGGGGGCAGTAGGGAGCCATGGAAGGATTCAGAGCGGGGAGTGATGGAGTTGGAGCTGCCCCTCCAGAATAGCGCCAGTCCTGGCATCCAGCGGGAGGGTGAATGAATGGGGGGTGGGGGGGGTGGGCAGGAAGTGGACAGGCAGGGGGTTTCTGTGAGTGACGGGGTGCACGGCCTGAGTCAGGGCAGGGGAGACAGGGAGGAGGGAATGGGTCTGAGAAAGCCGGAGCCTGCCCTCCATGCGGGCCCCCAGCCCAAGGGTGCTCCTGTGTCTGTTCCTTCTGTGACAGGTCCCAGACCCCTCTCTGCTGGGCAGCCCCAGGGCGGTATCCAGAGGTTACGTGGCCGGCATGGATGCCCACCTGGCCGTGGGGTGAATAATCGTTTGTTGTTGGGCCCAGCCCAGTAGGTAGATAAGCCTCTAGTCCCAGGGCCGGCTCCCCTGCTCCCCAGGCTGCCTGTCGGTACACAGCCAGCTCAGCAGGAAGCTGGCCATAACCCAGGACAATTAGTGCTCGTGACTTTGTACCCAACACAGAGCACGCTCGGGGACCAGAAGTTGGAACAAAGATCCTGGAGGCGGTTTGAGGCCTTCCCCCATCACCTGTGCCCGACCACAGCCCAGCTCTGTGGCTTCTGTGGCTCCCTGCGCAGAGCTCTGCCTGCTAGGGCCACAGACCTCTCCTTGGCCTTGAAGAACAGCCCCCAGCCTTAGTCCCGCTCTCACCAGTGTCTGCCCCCGCCCACCCCAAAGCCTGTCCCCGTGAAGGGCTCAGAAGGTCACCACCTACATCTCAGAAAGACCCAACTCCAAGTGAGAGGCCTTGGCTCCCCTGATTTGCTGTGTGACGCTAAGCAGGTCCCTGGGCCTTCATTTCCCTGCCTGCACGCTACACAGACGGCCTCGGACTCTAAGGCCCATCCGATCCGGGGGCCAGCAGCAGCAGGTGGGGGCTTGCACCCCCCGTTCCCATCATGGCAGCTCCCCTGCTGGTTTGTTCCTGGGTGGGCCCCGCCCCGTGGGATCTGGCCCAGATGAGGTAACGTCTCAGGACTCAGGGCTCGGGTGCGCAGAGGTAGGGGATCCCACAAAGCCGCATTGTCTCTGAGCCCCAGGGCACCCCCAGCAGAGCATGTAGCAGGCAGGGTGGAGGACACCCAGGCTGGCTCCCGTGGGGCGCCTGGGGCAAGGCCCTGGACTCTCTGGAATCTCAGCTTCCTCAGGCACAAAAGGGAGGCAGAGGTCAGTCCCTGCGAGGACCTCAGGGGAGGACAGCTGGGCAGTGCTCCGTCCGCTCCAAGAGTGGCTTTTGCCCCAACCACTGTGGGGCACGACGGGGTGGGCACCCTGCCTGCACCCCCCACTGGGCCTCCTATGCTCACAAAGAGGCCACCTGACCCCGTATCAAGCTGCCCAGGGCCCCACGTGGGCCAGTGGTAGGCAAAGGGGACAAGCTCAGTCCCCCACCGGGGCAGGGTGGGTCACTCAGGCTCTGGTCAAACATGGCTCCAGTCCCAGCTGGGCCTCCCTGGGCCTCAGTTTTCTCACCTGTGAAGTGGGCCCACTGAGCCTTCTGCTTCAGGGCTGCTGTGAAGCCTGACTAGAGCCACGATGCATGGGGTGAGAACCAGCAAGGTGCCCGGCGCTCGACGGGTGCTCCACGAATGGGAGGTGACAAAGGATGTGACAGCTCGTGTAGCGTGACAGGGACGTGACCCCTTCTGCTCGTGGGGGGAAAGAGGGGACTGACATGGAGGACTAGAAAATACCTAGAATGTCGTGGGTCAGGCCCATGGAGGCCAGGACCGCCAGCCATATGTGATGGTCGCGGGGGGCTCAGCGAGGGGGAGTGACCGGCCCACAGTCTCCCAGTCGGTGGGCTCCAGCCCCCCAGCTGTCCTGTGGTGGCTCTCTGCAGGGGCCTGCTGGCATCTCCTGGGCCCAACGGGGAGTCGGGAGGCCTAGAGGCCCTGACCAAGCCTGGCTGGTGACAGCGAGATCGGGCCAGCTGTGCAGACTGCAGGGGACAGAGAGCCCATGTCCCCGTGTCCTGGGCAGCCAACCAGCGTCCACTCACCTCTAAAGGGCCTGTTTCACTCTCTGTGATGGGGGACTGGGAGCCACACTCACCCTGGCCTCCCCGTGCCATCATGAAGCTGGGATGCAGAGGGGACGGGGCAGCGCTGAACCAGCCCAGCTCCAGGGCCTTGACGTCTGAGGGGCTCCTGGCTCCTCCCCCAGGCTGGGTTGCTCAGCCCCGGCACTGCTGATATTCTGGGCCAGGTGATGCCCTGTTGCAGGGTCTGTACACTGCATACAGCACGTTTAACGGTGTCCCTGGCTTCTACCCACCAGCTGCCAATAGTCCCCTCCCAGTCGCAACCATTAAAAATCCTCAGAACGTTGACAAACGGCCCAAGCCAGGCAAAGCCCGCTTGGTGAGAAGCACTGGCCCATCACAGAGCCAGGCCAGGATCAGAGATGGCAGGACAGCAGTGGGAGAAGCCCTGGGCGCCGGAACGGGGCCAAGGCGTGGAACCTGAGCCACAGGCTGCACCCCTGCCTCCTCACCAGGGTGGCTGGAGTTTCCTCGTTCATCAGACAGAGGTCCGGCCTTAGCCCAGTGGCTGCCGGTTTTTCCAGTTTGGCGGCACAAAGCCGACTACCTTTTCAGATCAGCCAGGCATCTCGCTGCTCCCGTCCTGTCTCAGCTGTGAGGCTCGGTCCTGTGTCAGCTGTGAGGCTCGAGGCCCAGCCTAGCTTCCCCTAGCTCCCCCTGCCTCTGGGGCATCCATCAGCTCTCAGTCTCACCCCGAATGTGGCCAGGTCACCTGGTGTGGCGCTGGGCCCCATGGGGACCAGAGGGCGGGTCCTCTTCTCGGGGCCTGGTCTCTGTTTGTAATTCGGGGCGCTCATTCCCACACTCCCTGCCTGAAGGAGTCAGGGGCCAGCTAAGCCAGCAGGCTGGGGTACTTGGGGATGGCTAGGACCCTCACACCCGGGGAAGGTGCTGGTGCATGGCCTGCCACCTCCCCTAGGAAGCAGGAGTTGGCTTGACCCAAGCAATGCAGCATCTGTTTGCAGAACTCAGAGCTCAGGAGGCACGAGGCTGGGGTGGGGGTGGCAGGCTGCCTGGAGGTGAGGGCGTGAGGGTGGCCCCCAGCCAGAACACAGCTGGAAGGAGGAGGGAAGCTCTTAAGACCAGAGCTGGGGTCTCATGAGGAGGGCTGAAGGACAGGTCAGGGAGAAGAGTTCATTACTGACTGCCCTGCCCCCACATGGCTTCTTTTACTCTTCAGAGCAGCCCTGCCAAATAAATGGGGCAAATTCCCATTTCTCAGACAAGGAAACTGAGGCCGACAAAGATTCAGTATCTTTGCCCAGGGTCACGGTGCAGGTGGCAGACCTAGGGCTCAGGCCTGGCTCCCGGCACTGCCCAGACCGGTGCCCGACACCCCCCTGGTCACAAGGATGACCCCACCAGGCACAAGCTACCCCGGGCCCATAGGAGCTGAGGGCAGGTCACTGCAGAGCTGGGCAGGGGCGGCGGGCGGCCGAGGGTGGGCCCAGGGATTACTGGCAAAGGAAGTGCTCCTGAGACAGGCCCGGGCCCAGCTGGCCCATGGGCAGGGAGGTAGACCAAGCAGGCAGGCCCTCGACAAGGTGACACTTGGCCAGGGCCAGGCTCACAGGAGCCTCTGGCCACCTGCCCAGGCTGTGGAGGGGACAGGCTCAACAGCAAGAGTGAGGAGGTCAGGGTCACCCATTCTTTCCCATGAAGAGGCCCGACTCTCCGTGGCATCTGGCTCCTGGGCACATCACTGCAGGGAGGTGGTGAGCACGGACCCCTGGTTCGAGCTGCCCCGACCCTGCTTCGGGCTATGGTCTCATTTCAGCCTAAAGTGTGGGGAGAGGCCGCATACCGCACCCTCCCCTGCCTGGGGCCTGGGGTTTATAATTCCTTAGAGCCAGCAGCTGCCTAACTGCCCTTACTTAGCACACGGAACACTTTTATAATCCTTGTCTCCTCTAATTTCATCCTCAAACAACCCTATTAGGCCACGAGGCGCTGGAGGCTCAGGCAGGTGGAGCCACGTGACCCAGTCCCACAGTGGGTCAGCACGGTGAGCCTTCGTGGGCAGCACTGGGACTGCCCCAATGGCAGGTGCATCCTCAGCCAGGGGCATCAGGCACCGAGGATCGTGCCCTCCTGGTCTGTGCCAACTTCTCATTTCTGGCGGTCAGGCTCAGCTGCTGACTTGGCGGAATGCCTCTGGGCGAGCCACAGCCTCCCTGAGGCCTCAGTTTCCCCACCTGCCACGTGGGAGCCTTGGCCAGGGGGCCCTCAAGGCCCAGCTTGGGCATTCCAGGCCCCTAGGAAGCTGCAGGGCTGCAGCAGATTCTGAGCCCCCCGATGACACCAGGGAACAGAGGGCAGGGTAGGTGGGTGGGCAGTGAGGGCCAGGAACCAACCTCCCAGGGAGGGAGCCGAGCAGCCCCTGGGGCCACGTGCTCCGCCCAGTCCTGCCTGCCTCCCACTTCCCAGGAGCTCCGGAAGCTCTGAGCAGGCTTAACACTTGAGATTTCCCTACCGAGAAGACACACCAGACAGGGGTGAGGCCAGTCCCAGGTTCAGATCCCGCTTGGCATGGACAAGCCCACTCCCTGCGTCTTCATCCCACACGAGGCACGCATGCGGGGGCTGAGCCACGTGACATGTGTAAAGCACCCACTGGGCTCACGGCAGGATGTGGGGGGCGGGGGGGGCCCAGAGGTTCTCTGATCTGCTGCCCACGGGGCAGAGGCTTCTGCAAGTCACCTTTCAAGAGACGCCTTTTCTACACTCCGGACCTCTCCAGCATGAGCTGTCTGTCCCGGGAGTCCATTCTCGGTGCTAATTACACGGCGGGCAGCGCGCGGGGTGAGCGTGGGGCTCGGGGTCAACCCACCACGGAGACCACATAAAAATGTCCCAACAGCCACAGACTCGCTGCCCAGAGAGCTCATAGCCACTTGAAAGGGCTCAGCTGGGATGGGTGGGCATACCTGACGAATACCAACAAATTACAGGCGCAAGAGCCCAGCCCCTTGTTAACCAGCCTGGCGTCGCCCCTTCTCCCGCGATCGTGTTCAGATCACAGGCCGGAAGCCCAAGGAAATCTGACCGGTCAGGAGCAGCTCTGGTGCTGGCCCCCACTCCCCTTACGCTTAACTTACTGGCAGCGAGTGACACCTGGACAAATTAACCAGTCAAGTGCCCAGGATGGGGCCGACCCAAGCCAAATTCTGTGAAAGTATTCGCTCTTGTCATGCATACTGATCCGTACTCTCTGGGGACCGTGCTGCACATAGCAGGGGCCGAGCGACAGCTGGGTGGAAAGAGGGCTCCTCCTGCCCCCAAACATGGGATCAAATTTAGGCTGAGTGCAAGAGCACAGCGACAGTGGCCCACCTGCCCCTCTTCGGGACCAGAGAGATCCTGGAGCCCAGAGACAGGCAGGGATGAGCTCAAGGACACACAGCAAAGCGCTGCTAAGAACCCAGGTTCATCCTGATCCCTCCCCCTCTGCTCCATTGTGTCCTTCCCTAGAAAGCCCTTTCTACCCTGCTCTCCCTCCTCAAATTTATTTCAAGTCTGCAGCCATCAGGGAAGCCTTCCCTGACCTCAGCCCGAGGAAGCTGCCTCTGCCGGAGCCAGATTCTAAAAGGGGCAGGTAGAACATCATACAGAGAAAGATTCTGGCTTCAGCCCAAGAAATAACTTCCTGGGAGTCAGAGCTCTCCAGATAGGATGTGAGCTGCGGGAGCCTGGGTGGTGAGCACCCCGTCACTGGAGGTGTGCAAGCAAAGACAGGGGATCACCGTGGCCTGGGCTGCTCGGAAATCATACGTGATAAAGCACCTTGCCTCGGCTCCAGGACCGGATTAGCCCTTAACCAGCGTTTATCTTATCTCTGACGGTCGGAGGTGGTGTCCTGTCCCTCTGGGTGGTCAGGCAGAGGTCAAGTGACCGCTTGGCAGGAGGCTCTAGGATGCCTGACCTCTCTGTGCCCAGCATAGGGCTCCATCCCTAGGAGGCAGGTGCTGCAAGTGTTTGTGGACCCACCGAATGACCGCTCGGTCAGTCCAGACCAGCCAGCTCACCTTGAGGTGCCCCAGGTGCATGCGGGCCCGCTCACACATGTGCAGAAAGTACTTGACGTTACTCTCGTCCACGATGATGTACACGGCCACCTTCCTCTTGAAGCTGGCGTCCAGCAGGTCCTTGAAGATGTCCACGTCGGTGAACATGTCCATGACCACGGCAATCACCTGTGAGCAGGAAGAGACCAGGGCTCTGGGTGGCAAGGCGGCGGGCACTGGCGCTCGGCAGAACGCACAGCCCTCCACACCCACCGCCCTCTCTGGGCGCCCCTGCTAGCCCTGCCCCACCCCCAGCCTCAGCACTGGGACTGGGCAGCGATGGCCTGGGGGCCTCTCTGGTCCCGAAGTTCTAGGGTTCAAGATTCTCCATCGGTGGCCAGACTGGACTTCGTGGAGCCGCGGGCCTGGAGAAGCACATTCGGCAGGCCCTCTGTCTCCGTAGTACAAGACGACAGAAAACAAAGCCCCGTCTCCTGGCCGGTGAGGCCCATGGAGGGAGGAGAGAATGCCTGGGAGCCAGGCAGGGTCTGCGTCCTGAGGTTGGGAGCGTGCTGGGGCCAGCCCCCAGGGCAGCCTGCCTTCCTCGTGGGTATCAAGGGCCCCGTTTTGGTCCCTTCCTGGCTTGCATTCCCGAGCCCGAGCAGCCCACACCTTCACCTGCCACCAGCCACCCTGAGATGCTGAGGTGGACCAGATGTGTCAACAGCCGGAAGGGCAGCAGCTGGTACAGGTGTTCTTGAAGTCACCTGCGCGTCCCTGCCTGGCGCGGACTTGGCCAGGCTTCCCGCTACCACCTCTCCTGTCTGTCTGAACGGAGCCCAAACCAGCAGGTGTGCCCTATTGTGTGACAACAGCGGACCTCCAGCCTCCTGGACCTGGCTCAGGGTGGGGGCCCAGAGGTCAGAGTGCATCCAGCCCAAGCCCTAGCCCCACGTGGGCAGTGACAGGCAGAGGAGAAGAACAGGGTGGTTGGGATGAGCTCACCTGCCTTGGGGGTAGTCAGCAGATGCTTGGGACGACTGGGGCTCAGTGACCATCTCTGGCCCTCTCTCTGGTCCCCCCCCCCATCCAACTGGGCAGCCAAGGGGAGCATATGGGGGGGTCTGGGCCTGAGGCGGACAACCAACACAGATAATCAGCCCCCTAGCCCTTCGAGACCGGCGCCACCGCCCTGTCCAGGGCCTGAGAATCTTCTGGAGAAGACTTAAGAGGCCAGGGACTTGGCCTTACAATGAGCTGGGAGTGGTCAGGCTAGAACCTACCCAGGCCAGCTAGGGAGCCAAGTTCACCCCCCACCCCCACCGCGAGGGTGGCCCAACAGGCTCCCCTCACTGGGATCTGTAGGCGCAGGGTGAAGGACAGGCAGACTGGGACCTGCTGGGGATGAGTCCACACACTCCGGTGAGCTCACCCAGCTGGCCTCTGCAGGCCCATGTGGGCTCCTCCCTGCCCTGCCCTGCCCTGGCCAGGACACGATCTGTGTGACCCTGAGCAAAGACACCTAGCTTCTCCAGGCCCAGCTCTCTCTGTGGTCCAATGGGGGCAGGGGAGCTGCAGGACCAGCCGGGCTCCATCATGGCCGAGGCCCAGGATTCACTCCATTCTCTGGGGGACAACCGCTCGCTGGCTTTGGGTCTCTGAAGGGCTGTTTCAGGTGGGGCAGAGGGCGTGGCTACAGGCCAGGCAGGGGCTAGGACAAGCAAGGGGAAGCCAACAGAGGCAGATGTTGGGGCCAGTTGAGGAGGCGCTTTCTGACCCAGAGTGAGGCAGGGGTCTTGATAGGGAATGAGCTCCCCATCCCAGGAGGTGTTTAAGGAAAGGCCAGAGATCGCTTAGCAAGGAGGTGGCTGAGGGGACAGATGAGACACAAGGATGGCTGGGTGGGCTCACGATGGCCTTAGATTTCACCAGTTGAACGTGAGACCTTGAGGTGGGTGGGGTGGTAGCGGGGACTTCCTCACCTGGGCCCCCCCAGCCCCAGAGCCAGCCCTGGGAACCCCTTGGATAAGGCGCTCCTGGAGGCAAACAGCCTCACGTGCCACCCCGGAAAGGGCGCAGCCAACACGTTTCTCCTTGGAGGCAGACATCACATCACCCCTTGCTCCCTTGTCATCGCCATCCCCCACCAGATTGGTCAGGCCCGCTTCCAGGCCCCACCTGCCGTGGCAGATGGGGACTTGCCCTGGGCCTGGGCTGGGGGACATGCCCCAGCAGGACCCACTCCTCCTGTGTCCTTCCCCATGTCTCCCTCCAGCAGGTAGCGGACCAGATCTGCTGTTGGGCTGGATCTGTTGGGGCCTGCCCCCCATGGTGGGTCCCTTCCATGGGGCCCTGGGGCTGAGCTCTGGCTCTCCCGGGGTACTGGGTTCGGTGCCAGGCGGCGGTCAGAGGAGGGCTTGTAACAGGAGCCAGCAGATGCTGGGAGTGGGGAGGGGTGCTTGGCGCTCCCTAGGCACTGGGATGATGCTGGGGGAGGGGGCCGGGTGCTCCCCGTGGAGGACCCCACAGCTTGTCCAGTCTGAGCCACAGAGGTTTCTTGGAAGCCTCCCCCCCCATCGTGCATGCTGTTCCCCGTTCTGTACATGGGAGAGCTGGGGCCGGACGCGGAAGGCTGGAACCCGGGTCTCGTGCTGCAGGATGGTGTAACGTTCAGTCCTCAAACACGCAGTGAGGCAGCGGTCGCTGCTCCCATTTCACAGATGAGGAAACTGAGGCATGGAGGGATTCACTCCCTTGCCTAATTATCTTGGGTGGCCTAGCTGGCCCGTGACACTGTGACTTCATCCAGGGCAGAGCCCCCATTCGGAGCCAGCGTGGGGCCTGGTCTACGGCGGGCCTCGGGGGACTGCTGTCAACTGGGAATGTGACCAAATGGTCTGAGTCGCGGGAATGAGGGAAGCCCGGGACAAGCCACGGCCCCTCTCGGGCCCTTGGTTTCGCATCTGCCCAACGGGGATGTCAGCCTGGCTCACTGCTACGGTCTCTCCTGCCCGCACGTCGTGGCCAGAGCCCAAAGCTGCCGGCCCCACCTGGAGGCGTACAGCAGCTGCCCCCTGCAGCCCCAGCTCGCACAGACCCCGCAGGGGTCCCGGGCAAGGCCAGGGCCAAAGCCGTGCAGGCAATGAAGGGGAGGCTGGAATCTGGAGACTAGCCTTGCCCCGCCGTGTGTTAAGAGACTGCACTGGGCAAGAGGCAGGTGGCCTGGGTCCCCGCGTTGAAGCTCACACCTCATGACCACAGGAACCAGTGTGTCCGTGTGAGCATCGGACCAACTGCCCAGTTGCCAGGGGGTGGGGTCGGCAGGCACGTGCGCATCCTGTATCCCAGGCTGGGCGTCGCTGGGGAACCAATGGGGCAGCGCCAGCCCAATACAGAACCGGCACAGAATGCACGGGCTGGCTCCCAAGGGAAGGAAGGTCTCCGGGGGTCCCTGTGCGGAAAGTCCTTGCTTGAAGAAAGGCACAGAACCAGGAGGGGCCAGACACCTGTGACAACCATCCCGGTTCTCAGCCCCAAAGGGCAGCGCAGTGGGGTCTGGATGATACCTAGGGGGAGCTGGAGGATGGCCGTGCCCCAGACAGGGGCCAGCCACGCAGTATAGAAGTGGGTGAGGCTAGAGCAGAGGGGAACATGGCAGGATCAATACAGGCACTGGGCTTGAGTGCGCTTTAGACCCAAATGACCCCTGGCCTCTCTGGGGGGCAGGGGGCGGTGGTATATGCAAGCTCCCAAAATACGTCCCTCCAGTGGTTCCCCAAACCTCCTTTTCCCACGCCCTCCCCATCCAATCTCTGGCACGGCCTCCCATGCCCCCAGCACGAGCACTTTCATTGTTCAGGTGGTTACTGGGGGGACTTGAACAAAGGGGGGGCAGCGTCTGAGCCACGCTCCCAGCTGCTCCCTGCCATTCGGGCATGCACCACGTCTGCATTTCTGGAAATGCCGCAGCAAACCGACCGAGTGGCATGCCGTCTCCTGAAGGCCTGGACTCTGAGAGCCAGGTCAGGGTCCAGCAGGTTCCCACCTGGAGCTCCCTCTCTAACACCTTCCCCACCATCCCTGGCCATGGAGCTGCGTGGAGGAGGCTCAGAAGGAGGCAGCTCTGGTCTCTCCCTTCAAAGTGCTCCAGAGCAGACAGGGGAGACAGACAAGCCCCATCCTCCCTGCAGCCCAGAAGCAGCCACGGAAACAGGGCACTGCAAGCACACAAGTCCCTGACCCTCCGTGGGCCTCGTGTCACCACCTGCAAAGTGTCGGAGGTGAAGAGAACCTCAGAGCTCTGGGTCTGTCCCACTAAGGCCCCGATGGACACCCAGATGGTGGTGGCATGGGCTGCAGAGTGTCCTGGGAAGACGCGTGACCTCGGGCAAGAGCCTTAGTCTCCTCAGGGGGCGGTAAAATGCCCACCTGCACAGATGAGATCAGCCCCAGGATTGCCTCAGCTACCTCCGAGTCTGGCAGTCTCCCTGAGTTGAGGAGACAGGGTGTGCTCAGAGCACAGTTGCCAGAATTTTCAGACACAGGGTGTCCCCTTGAGCCTTCAGCTGGTGACTGAGCATCATGTGCATGGAGGAGACCATCCAGGCTGGGACAAAACTGCTAGAAAAAGGCAGCTGGAACGGTCACCGGTGCTCACGCAGGATTTAGGAGTCATTTACAATCCCCCCACCCCCACCCCTGGCACTGTAGCAGACCCCTCTAAAATTCAGGGCCTGCGGGAGAGTCCTCAGAAGGGTATTACCTGAGTAGTGGGCAAATAAGCCCTAGACCAGAGGCCAACAAACTTTCTGTAAAGGCCACGTGGTAAATACTTCAGGCTTTGCAGGCCACATGGCTCTAACACACTCGACTCTGCCGTGATAGCATGGGGTCCATGGTCCAACTCTGACCCTGGGCTAAATCTGCTCTGGTCCCACCTAATAAAGCTTAAAAAACACCAAACTGAACCTCGAGATGTGAAACTAGTCAACAATTAAGATGAAAAATACACTGGACGGGATGAATACCAGATTAGACACCATAGAAGAAACAATGAGTGAACTTGAAGACACATCAGTAGAAACGATCCAAAATGACCCATGGAAAGGGACTGACAAACCAGGATCGGCCCAGAGCATCAGTGAATGGGGATCTAGAGGATCTAGGATACACATAACTGGAGTCTCAAA